ATAAGATATTTGAACAAGTAAATAATAAATTTAATAAAAAATACACACATTAATATTGTAAAAATAAAATATTTAACTTTAATAATTGATATGAAAAAGTACAAATAATTATATGTATAAATTTATATGTAACAATTTTTATTTTTATATATTTAATATAAAATTAAAATGCAATGTGAGTATGAGCACACTTACTTTAATAGGCGATTAGACAAATTTCACTGACATAACATTTTATCCAATGGATTCTTTGAAAATAGTGTCGATAGAATACCGTAATTAAAGAAAAATAGCTTAAGTTGCACTACGATACGTGTGTAGCATATTAAACTGCTGACAATAACTTTATTCTGCACAACTGCGCTCTTCTCGGAAATTCGAAGTCACATTCCATTTAAACCATTAAATTGGTATTACTGCCCAAACGACGATTTATATCTATACTACGTGGCATTCACAATAAAGTTTATTGTCTGTATGATGATGAGAGAAGATGTGATGTTTTACCTGCTAATGTTAAGTGCACTCACATAAGTTTTATGCGGAGCACAATTTATTACAGTCAGCTGAGAAATCATTGCTTTAAATTTTTACTTTATCTACTAAAAAATATATGCAAAATTATAAGTAACTGGTGTATATTTCATAGAATAACAGTTTGTATAATTAAGTTTATAGAAAATCAGTCCTGTTACATCACGTTTTAAATTATTTCTAATATAAATAATTTTAAATATGATAATTAATTCTAGTGATTTATTTTATACGATAAATACTGAATAACCATCCAAAAATGTAATTAGAATATTTTAACTGAAACATACAGAATTTAAAATAATAAAATTTTAATTATTCATAATATTAAATAATATATTTAATTCGATTTAATTCCTAACTTTATTTTTTTTTAATGATCATAAACCAATCCTTTTAATGGTATACTAATATACGGAAGATAAACAATTTATAAATACATCATTATTAATGCATTTTTAATCTAGAATTACATAGGAAATTAACTAACTGGATTATATTTAAATTGTTTATCAATTGTGCAAAAGTGTCAAAAGTGCAAAGTTTATTATGAAAGTTTTTCCTTGTTTACAATTATTTTCTAATCATTGTAAAAAATTCAATGCCTAAACTTATTGTTATCATTAAATTAGCATTTTTTCCCTTGAAGTTACTACAATAATGATTACATGTATAAAAAGTAATTTATGAAAGCTCTATCATAATTCATTTCATGTCAATATTCCTCAATGAAATATTCAAGTAAAAAATTTTATCTCAGTTACAGTGTACATTTATTGTTTTACCTAATTTTCAAATTATTCTTTTGGAAGACAATTAGTATTATTGTAAATACTAATTCTTTTATAATTATTTAGTACTTACTTACAATATTTATATTTGGTATAATTATGGCAATTTTCAATTATTATGATATTCCTTTATTTTTCATATTTTAAACGTTCAATCTTCAAAAAAAAGTATTTTAAAATATTTTACTTGTGTATACCTTTTTAAAAAGCACATGCAGAAATAAACAATTTAATACAATCATATAAATATTATTATTACTATTATTAATGGGATTTGAAAGATTTTTGTCACTGACATAATCTGTATAAATATATAATAAGTACAAAAGTAAAAAAATTTATAATTATTAAATATAATTTTTACTTAATATTATAATAATTTTTATTTGTAATAATACAATGTGTGAATTTATGAATTGAATATTAAAATTAATGATACATTAGCAAAATAACAAATAACAGTGGAAGAAAGTACTTGTTTGATGTTTTGAAATAAATACTAGGTAACAATAAGTACTAAATATATAAACTAGATAACAATAAGTGTACATAACTTCCAATCTTTTGAACTGTTATTTCAACTATATAGATCTCATAAAATAAAAAATCAAAGGAAAAAATATTTTCCATTAGTTGTTAACACATTAAACGTTGATTATTCAATATTATTGTCACTCAAAAGAGCAAGAAAATTATTCTTGAATACGGTACGTAATAATATTATCAGAAGTTATATTCAGAAATTTACCAAAGTTGCAGATAAAATCATCAAAAGCAGCTGAACTATATTTTTTTATTTTGTAGCCATCCTCTATTTACCACTGCAAATGACTTCTTGTCAATGACAATTCTATTCCATAAATACTATATTAATAATAATATGATAAATTTAGCTACGTAAAATCCTTAATGTAATAAAATATTAAAAAAAAATAATATATAAAACTTAAATAAAGACACACACATATATATATTTATATATATATATATATATATATATATATATATATATATATATATATATAAGAATGTTAAACAAGAATAACATAAATTATAAATACATTTTATGAAGAGTAGTCATAATATTTAAGAGTTAAATCAGAAATCTAGATACATAAATATGCACAAAAAAAATGAGTGGTTGATGAGTGGTATTTCTGCAATCAGAACTTCCTAACTATTATCAATTTTTCTCAGTTCACGATTTCATCATTTCAGAACAAAACAAACAATTTAATTGGCCCTAATTAAACTATAAATACAATGTTTGATATGTATCTTACTAGATTATAAAATTACACTTAAAAATAAAAGAAATATATATATATAGGATTCTTATAATAATTCTTCTTATTTGATTATACTGCAATTTTTTAACAATTTATTCTATTTTGAAACACACCAATATTATGTACCACAGGATTATAGTAAAATAATATTTATCATTGCAAAATCGTTATAAAATTGCATTTATTATTTGTTATTGTATACGGAGAAGAATTAATTTAAAATTATGTAGACAATCTAACATAATATAATTGATTTCTTGTATGAAACATTAATTACTAAAATCATTTGTAACATTAAAATACGGTGATGTGATCTCACTTGTCCTACTTTATTTATATATTTATAAATTTTATATACAGTAAAAAGCGCTTATGTAAATAATCAAACTTTTAATTATATAATATCGTCATTTACCAAATGATGTCACATACCAAATGATACCAAACCAGTGCACAAATCATGATGAAAATGTATAAATTGAACATTTTTATTTTCTTAAAACAACTAATGTATTAATATTAAATAAATTATAATTAATAGGAATATATTACTTATATTTTATGAACGTTATATTTCAAAACAGTGTAAATTGATTACAAAATTTTACAATATTAGCTTACAGATAAAAGTTTTACATAAGCTATAAATTACTATCTGTAATATTAAAATATTTTAATATTCCATTCATCTATTTTATTATTCATAATTAATATTTCTTTTTCGTCCTGTTTTAATACCCATAAAATTTTTTAAAGGTTTTTAAAAGTTTTTTTAATTGATATTCTTTTCTGCAATACTAATAAATAATTTAATCTTGAGTCAATATAAACATATAACATATGCTAACAAAAATAATTTATTTAAATAATTTAAATTATATCCCTTGTATTTTCGACAATTTATCAAACTCAATGCTTTTAAAATAATAATACTTAGCTGAGTAATGTGAGGTAATGTGGTTTTTATTCAAACGATAACAGATTACTATTGATAAATTGTCGTATATCAGCCTAAGTGTCAGACTTTTTAGAGCAGTAAAAAAAAAATTAAATGATTTTATAAGAGAATTGAGTTACAATAAAAAATAAAATAAAGCGTGTACAAGAAAACAATTTCATTTAATAAAATAATGTTTGAAAATAAAAAAGTATTTCTAATAATTCATATTAGTAGATAACTTTTAATCTACAAATTGGTTAATATTTGTTTTCACTGATGTATACATGCACACATGTAAGAAAGGATGTATCCTTGCATACTTTTGTCAAGTAAAAGATTTCATCACGGAGTTAGTATAGTAAGAGAATCCTCCCTAAAATTTTATCGCATATTCTCATACGCGCGCAGTAGTCTTTCTCATAAATTCCTAATATTAATAATAACAATAATTATCCTAATCCTAATAACAATAATTCCTAATATTAAATAATTACTAATAATATTTCATATACGCTTTAAATGCTTTTGATGCATAACATTATTTCAATTCGTTACAACTTTTTATATAGATAATAAAATTAATATTTTGTCCACTATCTTCTTGAATTATTTTAAAATTAGCTTTATAATATATTTCTCTCCAATCTCTAGTATAATTGTAGTTTAAATAAAATAAATGTGATCAAATACTTTTATATATAATTCACCTAAATTATATATTTAAGTTAGGTAAAAAATTAAAAGTCTATATAATAATTGCTTATTAACGATGGAAGAATTCTGATTCTTTTAAGATAATAAAAGTATGAATGTTATAATTACTCCTCGATATATGTTTCTAATATATGTTCTATCTAATATCTAAAAACATTTCCTTCCAAGCTTTTATATTTCAGGTACCTATTTCTTATACATTTACAAAAGTATACTTAGTTATAAATATCCTTAAAATGCATGGAATTATACTATTGTAAAGCATTAACTTTTTCCATCAATTAATTTATGTCCAATTTTTTTTATATATAAAAATTTATTTGTACTTATTGTTTCAAATAAATTATAAAAAATAATTATGGTATTATTTATTTGTTTTTAATTATGTTTATCAAAATTTCATATTTTGACAATAGAACATAAATAATATGCAACTTAAATATGTATTTGATTGGTGAAAATATAATTAAATGCACCTGTAAAAAGTTTTTCAGATATTACATTAAATTGTTGAAATCTGTATTAATGTTCTGTTATGAAAATTATAAAAACTTGCTAAATTGCTCACATTTACGTTTTCATTTATTAAAATTGGAAACTAAACATTATTAAATAACTTACCAATATTTTAAAATATTTATATACATAAAGTTAATCTACTCTGAATCTTTGAATTAATTGCTTTATATAAAAAATAAAATCTTCATTTATTCGATGTTAACATTATACACAATGTCTTATTTGATTTGTTGTATGTACAATAATATTTTATTCAATGGCACAATAAAACAATTTATTTCTGTAACAAAATTAATAAATTGACTCTCATATACTTGGAATAAAAAATGGAGAATTTTTAAAAAATGTCAGCTATCAATAGTCATTGTACATATAAATTTTGGAAACTTAATTAATTTAATTAATTTAATTTATTTTACTTTATTATTTTAATTATTTTTTTCTTTAATTAATTTACTATACCTAATAAATTGTATATCCTACTATTAAACGTTGCAATAAAACATAAAATTTTTATTAAAACTTCGCAACTCAAATTAATAGCAAAATTTAATGCTATTTGCAGCCAAACTAGACGGTGTAAAAACATATATGCGAATGAGAAGAGTACCAAATCACCTGCAAGTCAAAGTTATAAAGTGGTTTGATTACCTGTGGTTAACACAAAAATGTTCCGATGAAGAAAAGGCTGTCAGCTGTTTACCAGGTAAATAAATCATTACTGTTATATTATTCTTACGTTGTAGATAAATTGTCACAATACAATAATTGTATGGTTTCATTTTGGAAACTTATTTGAAACTCGATATTTTAACTTCATTTAATTCGAATCTAATATTATTCAATTTATTCAAGTATTTTTCATTAATCAACTTATTATTATTAGATAATATTTGCAAAATCCGTATCAAATTTATATTTTTATCTAATATTATATTCAATTCCGAAATAATAACTTAGTATTTTTAAATAAAATTAAAAATAAAATGTTTTTAAAATCCAATCAAATAATATATACTATTCTTTAAAGTCAATAAATGATAAGAATTTATTAAAGTCTTCTTTACTCACCTTTCTTTTTATTTATTAAAAGCTTTTACTACTAAACTAGTACTTTTCCGTTTATTATCATTTTTAGATAAATATTAAATATTTCAAAACTTTTTCATATTATATTAATTCTATACTATGGAATATTATAAATTTATTTAGTGCATATTTTTGTGAATATATTTTATGTTACAATTTGTACTCAAATTGCTATATACACGTTAATTGAAACTCTTTATTACAAAGAGTATTAAGCAAAATAATTAAGATTTACAAAATTTAAAAATTAAAGTAATAATCATAAAAAAAGGTGTATTTAGAGTGAGAAAAAAGAATTATATGAAAAATTTAATATGTTTTTTAAATATTTAAATCGATGTAAAGCAAAGATCAAAAGTAATATCAAGTAATATAATCAATCATGAAATTGACAATTATATACTGCCATTTATATGAATATTTTTAAATATTAAATATTAAAATCAACTAAAATTTGTTACAATAATGTAAAATAAAATCATAAAACGTAGAATTTGATTAGAAAAATCTGAAAATTCTGAATAAATTAAAGGGAAAATGAAAATATAAAATTTTATGTTCAAAAGTTTTAAAATTTTAATAATATAACATAATATACTAACAATTTTTACAAAAAAATTATTTTATTTTTTAAAATAAAAATATAACTACGAAAATTAAGCATTATTATTAACAAAATTATTTTTAAATTTTAATATAAACAAACCACAAAAAAATTAATTAAATACGTCATTTAAAAATACTTTGATACTGCCAGGTTTGATTTAAAAAATATATTTAAAATATTTGATGTTCAATGAGAAATTCGCGACTAAACAAGTAATATAGAATAACTGACAATGTCATTCATATTTTATTCCTTAAATTTTGATGAAATCGTTTACATTTGCGCTATCCAATTATATTTAGAAACCGAAGTTTTAATGGAAATTCGGATCTGACAAATATCATTAGTCAGTTAGCTTGTCAAATGTCAAAATTTATTGTTTTCCTTTATTTTAGCATTTACCTTTGTTTGTGAAAACAATTATTCGTTATAAACTTTATACATCTATATTTTCAGCTCAAATGCAACTCGTTGCAACTTATGCATAATTTTAAACTCAGAACCTGAATGCTGCTTATCGCAGTTATTTTAGTATACATACGTATTTTCATGCTTTTACTCTTTTTGCTTCTCCTATTTCTATCTTAAAAAGAAGAACATCAAGTAAAAGAAATACATGAGTTCTTGCAACTGATCTTATGTAAATCAATGAATTAATGTGTTAATTTAAAACATAATCAATATTGAAAACTTTTGAATCGCTGAATTCTCGAACTTATAATTGACATCTTTCAAGTATTCTTGGCTCAAATCTGATATATGTTTAAAATAATATTTTCAACTATCAAATATATATCTAGATAATTGTTTCAGGTTCGTGTTTAAAGTTTTCATAAATTTAATTATATCATTTTGTATTATTATTATTTATTATCTTATTATTGTATCTATTATATTTTGTCAATTATAAAATCTGCTGGACATAGCATAATCGAAAATTCTATATGACCAATTTTCATATATAGCTACTACATTGTAGCACAGTGTCTCGGGTAAATCCTACGTGCAATCACGCAATAGATATTATTTTTATTGCATGTCAATACACTCGGAAAACATACAATCGAATGGCACTACTATTACTGTAAGCTGAGCGAATATGACTCGAAATCGACTGCTATCAAATACCGATTGAATAAAAAAATCGAAGGCCAATTAACTACTTTCGACTCATTCCCGCTAATTCCTGAAGTCACTGTCTGCGTTGCTCATAATAAATAAACATATTTAAAAAAATCTTTAATCGCTTTGTATGAATTGCTCCTTTTATATGATATAAAATAAATAAAAATATTATATTTAAGAATAAATTATACTTTATAAGACAGTAGACGATCGAAACATTTAGAAAAATATTATGATTAATCGCATAAATATCTTTATAAACTGATGTACAAACTCGTTTGCATACATGTACGAACAATTTACTAAAATATCAATCGAGTAACTTCAATTTTAAAAATTCAATTATATAAAAATATATGAAAAAAAAAATGAAAAGTAAATAAGAATTCTGTTACATTTCAATTCTAAATACTTCGGTAATTTGTCAATTAATACCAGTCATTTATTAATAAATGTATTTTACAATAAGAAGAATCTTTTAATAATATTAATACTAATTTATTCTTTTTTGTTAAATATTCTACAGTCAATTGCAATATATTAATGAATAAAATGTAACATACAGTTAAAAGAGTCAATAATTATTTTTAATTATTCTCATTACCTATAAAAAAAGGTATTACCATGATGTATGATTATAACTAAAAAATCAACAGAGTCTTTACGCACCCAAAGCAGATAAGAAATACGCCAAACATACAAGGAGAGAAAAAACATTAAAATAAAATAAAAAGTAAGTTAAAGAAATAAAAAAAATAAAGTGAGGAAAAATGAAAAATTGTAAGACAAATGAAAGTAAAGATAAAAGCGGAGCGTTAAATGAAAAACGCTCAAAAACTTTTGTAAAATTTATAATAAAAATAAATAGATTATATCATTATTTATATATTATTTATATTTATATGTTAATTTATATGATTTTATTTTATTTATATATTATTTGTATTTGGATATGATTTTATTTACAAATTATTTTGATTGTATTTATTATTTATTATTTTATATGCTTTTTGTGATATATTAAATAAATTTGAAAAAAATTGTACATTTCGTGCTCATTGAACCAAATACGATAATTTATGAAAAATATTGTACATCTGAAACGGTTCTTTTAATATATAATTGTTGGCACATAAATACTATATAAACACTTCGTTAAATAATATTAAATATAAAATTATAAAAATTTCTATTAAACATTATAGAACTTGATTTATTATTACTAATTTTAAATAACGAATTAAATTTGTTTGGGTTGATTATAATAAAGAAATATTTTCAACAATTTTATTTAAAAAAGCATTTAATATATTTTAAACTTTCAATTCAAAAGAAATTTGGATTTAAGACTACTGAATTTAGATGTATAATAAAGAAAAGGTTTCAATTATATCAATAAAAGAATCTATGCTTGTAAATTTATTCAGTGTCATTCCAAATATTATGTAAGATGACATATCAACTTTCAGTCATCCGTTCTTTACATTATATTTTAATAAATATAATATTAACTTTACCAATATACTATTATTTTAATGTCCTTACAATTTTTTTATAATAGTACATTAAAAAATCTTTTAAAATACATTAAGTAAAAATATAAAATAATTTAAATGATATAAAATGATAAATATGGAAAATTTGTATATAATATATACTTCTCATATTCGACTATATCCATAATAACAGTAATAACAGTAATAATATATGTTAAACTAATAACGATCATAATAATAGCAGTCATAATAATAATAATTTTATTAATATAAAAGCTTTCAGTTATCTCATTCTCCCTGTTTACGCTCTTTTTTCGTATAGAATCAAAACTATATATACGTCGATTTAACAATCTTAAAAATTTTGGTAAATCAAATAATTGACTTTTTCATCATCTTCAATGGCTATACAATGTGCCAAAAACCAAAGATATAGTCATCGATTTAATTTTCCATATCTTTTCTTCACTCTCAGAAATATGTAAATATAATCGAAATTCTAGTTCTTTCGATATACGATTGATTTACTGAAATTTGTCAAATTCTCTCAATGGAATGAATTATCTTTCTCATGCGTAAACAGGGTCCAATCTTTTTTCTTCTTTTCACTGAAAAACCTTTATTCTTTGGCTTTTGCACCTTAATTTTCAACATGGATTTATTGGCTTAAAAAGAAGAAAAATCGTGACTTTTCCTTTTATTCAATAATAAATTAATTTAAATTACTATACAAAAAAATTTATCATGTCAAAATGTAAAATATTTTATTAATAAAAATTTCTCGACTGAGAAGACATAAATTCGATTAGAATAATCATTAGGTTTCCCTTATTATCCAAAAATTTTATTTAAATTTTATATAAGATTCCTTAGACATTAGCAAATTTATTAATATCATATATTATTGTCACAGCAAACATACGATCATTTAATTAAAATGTATTGAAATTATAGTATTGCAAACTTCGACATAAATATCTGTCGAATACAAATTTTATCTTTTCCATCATTTATATCATTATATATCAAATATAATTTATTCATTATAATATGTAAGATTTATCTTATAATAATACATAAGTGGAATTCAATAAATACTGTAGACTGCTTTTTTCCGAACCAAATTTCATTTGGTATTTTTAAAATTTTTCCAATTCCAATGCAAAATATATATATATATATGTATATACATAATTTTTTACCTACTTCATTGCTACTTCACTATCAAGATGATATTTAAAACGAATTGATTTCTAAACATGTTAAATGTTAACAAATAAATTGTTTTAATCAAAATTTATCCGAACCTATCAGAGTAATATGTAGATTTTAATTGCACGATTTTTTATTCTAATAATATGCCTAAATTTTTAATATTTACCTAATAAATATTGAAATATTGTAAATGTTATGAATGAAACATTTTTCCTCTTGTAAAATAATAAATTGTTTTGTTACTAAATAGGATAAACTTTGAGTAAAAGCACCATTTACTAAATTCAAACCGTATATATATTTTTAAAATTAATTTATCTTAAAGATATATTCAAAATTTGGAAAAACTCTTAACTTATATTTTCCGAAATATAAAAGAAGTTCAATTAAAATTTACATATAAGATTTATATATTAATAATGTAATGGTTAACTGATTAATTATAAAAACAAAATATGTTACTGACAATTTTTTAAACATTTATATAGTAATTTATCTAAATATAAAGCAGGTACTGCTCTTATTTGTAAACAGAATATTTGAAACCAGTCATATTGTATGAAAGATTTTCAAAATTTTTTCAAAATTTGTTGTTTTTTATATATATTTAATATTTGGATATTTGTAATTAAAAAAAACATTATTGATAGAAGAATATTTATGAGAAAACATAATTTAAGCTTTTTTAACAGATCCGTTAAATTTAATTTACTATATATATACTGTTTTTTCAGATAAATTGAAGGCAGAAATAGCTATAAATGTTCATCTGGACACGCTTAAAAGGGTTGAAATTTTTCAAAACACGGAGGCTGGCTTTTTATGCGAACTCGTGCTGAGGCTACGCCCAGTTCTTTTCTCACCCGGAGACTATATCTGTCGGAAAGGTAATAGAAATTAATATATTCTTACATGTTTGAACTATCAATGATAATTCGGCGAAAAGAAAAAAATACAATGTCTACATACAAACAGACAGTTAAATTAAACAATGATGATATATTACAATTTCTTGTCTAACTTGTTCGAGTTGCATCCATCCCTCGAATATTCTTGTATATTTAACATAAAAGAATCTTAAATTCTTCAATGTCCAATTCTTCAACAATATTTCTGTACAAATTCTTTAGAAAAACCAAAATAAATATATGTATTTTTTTTTCTTCTAGTACAATATTTATATATCAAAAGTTTACATTACATCTGCTTATTTTATCTAAGTTTCATTTTTAGTTTGAAAGATTTAGCTTGTATAGTAATTTTCTATTATTTAATTCTATTTTTTTTAAAGATCTTTCATGCCATACGTGCCAGCGCAAATACACTGAAAAATAATTTGTCAAAATAATCTTACTTTACATTTTATTGTTAGATATATTATTTATACATGTATGAATATATGTAAAAAATTGAATAAATTTGTAAAGAATTTACTTCCCTATCTTTTTCACTGATGGTAGGTATACACATCAAATTATACGTGAAATAACGACGATCTAAATTCATATAATTGCTATAACATCGAACTATTAAGTCACGCTTGCGTACCTAAAAATATTCAACAAATTAAACTTTATGAGATTTTTGAAATACGTATATATACATCATTGTCGACAAATATGTATATTCATATATTTAATATTCATATTTATTTACTAATAACTCAAAAAACTTTTAAATTCAAGTTATAACTATTTCATTGCAAAATTATAATCTCTAAATAAATTTTTTTAGCAGAATTATATTCTTTTTATTTTCATTTTTATTTATTTATTTTATTGTTTTTACAGAATATTCCGTACATATTAAATATTAATATAATAAAATATTTTGGTATGCAAATAATTTCGTTCGAATCATTAATCAATATAAAATATTTTTTAGTGAAAAGAAATTAAATTTTTAGTTTTACCTTACGCAATTAATTTAAATTAATATCGACTTGGAATTTCACTCAGTAAAGTATCCTACAATAACGTAAATTCTATTCTCTTCACAAACCTGTTATAATAACATATAATACATGTCCGAGACTCGTACGGTAATATTGTATTCGCAGGTGAAGTTGGTAAGGAGATGTACATAGTGAATCGGGGCCGACTGCAAGTGGTAGCGGATAACGGGAAAACGGTGCTGGCCACTCTCAAGGCCGGCTCTTACTTTGGCGAAATCAGCATTCTCAATATGGGGACCGCAGGTAAAGAGTGCGGTAAATATTCCAAGCGAACCGGGGGCGGATCCAAACTCAAGCTGCCCACCAATAAAAACCCCAGACAGTCTTACGAGATTATTGTTCCGTAAATATATGCGACCTCCTTAACACCACTAACAGCCAAGAAACATCCACTCCGCTCGCTCTCTCTCTCTCTCTCTCTCATGCTATTTTTTTCTAACGATCGCTTATTTTAATTTAATCTACAGCTCTTAGCTGTATCATATCAACTTCTACCCTAATATCACTTGTTCAATCTATTAGCTTTTGTATAATAACACAAATTGTACTTTAATTATCACAAAATTTTCACTCTTTCTTTTGCATTCACTTCTTCTATCAAGTATTTTTATTTAAAGATTTATTCAATATTTTATTAAAAAAAAAAACAACATATACATCTGAATTCATTATTATTAAAAGAATGGATCCATTTAAATACAAATTTCAATTAAACACAAATAGAACTTCGATGAACGTAATAAAAAATTCGTTTCATTTTTTTTGTTATCTTTAGTACTTTTATAACAAAAGAATTTTTAATTCATCATGTATATAAATATTATAAATAGATAGAAAAATAATCTATTCATCCAATAAAAAGCAATATCTAATTATTTTGATAAAAATTTGAATGTAACATTATATTTTATATTTTTACTAATAGAATTAAAATAGCCTCTATAAAAATTATTATGAAATATATTAATTAAAACATATCATAAAATATATTACATTAAGGAAGTCGATATCAAATTCAAATCAAGACATTTGACTTAGTATACTATGACCTTTTATTACTTTTAATCAATTAATTTTTTACAAGAAAATTTCCATTAGTATTTTCAAATTTCTTATTTCATAATAATAATTTACTTTTTATATTTTATTTTATATACTTTCCATACAGAATTTCATTAACACAATTAATTATTGATTTCTCCGTATCTGTCAATTGATTAAAATAGAAATTACTTGATATTACTATTGAAAAGTAAAGATATAATTTAATATGAATTATTTATACATGTTTATATATAAATATTATGTTTATATATACATATTATAATATTAAGTAGAAGATGCAAAAACTTTTATTCATTTATATTTTTCGTTGAAGTATATACATTTTTAATTATCGTCAATGTTTTTTTATTACATTAACTTTTATCTTTCAAATTTCAATGTTTCATTTTTCTATTGCAAATTTAATTTACTTTCACATTAAATATAAAAGATTGTATTTAAACAAATCATCTCTGCGAATTTAATTCATTTTTATTTAAGATAAAGTAATAATTATATGTATAATGAAAAAATTAAATTAAATTATTATTATTAGTTTATGATATAAATAAATAAAAAAATTTATTATTTCAATAATACATTATTTTTATGAAAAATAGTGTAATAGTAACTTAAAATGTAATATGGTAACTAGTATATAATGTTAATATTATTCTGAATAAAGAGAGGATATTTAGTTAAAAATATTTGAAATTTATAAATATATTTCATTATTTAGTTTGTCATCAGTATCCTATCAGTATAATAATCAGTATAATAAGAATAACATTAGAATTTTTATGAATATTGACAGGATTGTAAGGAGCATATTGAAATATTGAATAAGTTTACATTGAATTTTGATATGTATAGCTTATTTTAAATATATTTGCCAATACTTAGAAATATATAACTAATATAATATGTTATGTTAATTCATTAGAATTATTTATTTTTCTATGTTTTTTGTTTAAAAGTATTATTATAATTGTTTCAATATATATGAACATATTTAAATACGATTATGTTAACACATATAATAAGAAACAATAAGAATTTTTAACAGATATTTCTTTTAAACATTTTAATTTATAAATTAACATGTTTAAAGACACATTTAACATGTGTAAAGAAACATTTTAATTTATATTTGAAAAAATTTCTAATACATGTACAATAATAAAAATAAAATTTATAACTAATTGCGAATAATATTCAAATGCTTACCCATAAATTTCTTAAATAAAAAAATTATTATAAAAAAAATAACGAATGTTGTAGTATCCACAGAACCTAATGATTATTAGTTATTTTAAACTTCTTGACTTTAATATAATATTGATATTTGTACACATACTGTTTATAATTAACTATATATTTATTTATGCAATTATAAGTTCATTTATCAATTTCGAAACTTATTTGATTATTTATATACTTTCTCTTTTTGAAAGGCATTTATAAAATAATTGTTGATTTTGCATACAGTAGGTTTTACTTTTTATTTGCTTTTTTATTAACTCGAAGTTTTTGTACATTTTATAAGTTAATTTTTAACCATAGTTATAAAACGTTATCATTTTTATATTTAATTCAAAATTATTCAAAGCATTGTTTGTAATGGTTTTAATCGACGTTGAGTATTTGATTTTGATACACGTGAAACTTATGAAAACTTATACACAACGAATAAAAATACCAACTTTTATTGTCCAGTAATTATGACAGTATTTAAAGAAATTCCAACTTTTATTCTTCTTTTATTTATATTATAAAATAATTGTAATTAAATTCAGAATGGTATGCATTTTTCATAATAAATATTTATAATTATTTCCTAATATATTTTTTAAATTTATTTATAAAACGAGATTATTTTCCATTTTTCAATCATTACATTTCATTAAGTCATATTACTGAATTTTATTTTATAGAAGTTCATGATTAATATGTGTTTTTTTAATAATAATTATTATTATCTCTTAATATACTATATAAACTCTATATGAAATATATTTAAAGATATTTAAAAATTGAAAATAGAATATATTTTTATACTAAAAAAAATTTCTTATTTAAAAAAAATTGGTAATTAATAAAACTAAGAATAAATTGCAAATTATAGAAATTGTTATTTGATAACATATATTTTTATGTTCAAATCTTCATATAGTTAAACGAACGTTTTACTTAATGTGTTAAATTACTAATACTAATAATAATGTGTTGTCTTGGATATAAGTTGTTAGATACAAATAAATTATTTGTATAATATTATTTTTAGCGTTAACATAAGTAATTATATTATTATAAATTTGAATATTTATTTTTACAATACTTATTAAATGTTTTTTACAATCTTGTAATAAAATATAATTTGTTTGTATAATTTAAAATGATCGTTAATTTATATGAATTTTCATTTTTCAAAATTTATATTATTTGTACAAAATATAGGATGAAAATTTGAAAGAGAATTATAAGTGGAAAATTTCTTTCAGGAATACTGATAAATTCTGAATCAAACTATTATACGTTCTCTCTCTCTCTCACTCTTTCATATATATATATACCTATGTATATATGTATATGTATCAGTTTTTATAGAACAGTATGCTAAATTTTACTAAATTAGATTACTGAAACCAATCTACCAATGAATATTTAATACAATTTCAGGAACAAAAATTTCATGAAACCCATTATATATGTAAACAAATTCAAGGTCAAAAATCTAATACTGATCCATCAATATACTATAATATTCACATTTCTCTCTAATCTTTATTTTCACTCATTTTTCTTATATCCACCTATACTAGGCTAAATTTTTTATATTTTTCTTACCTTCTGTACGTAAAAACTTCGTTTTAAAATTCTTAATTTATTTTCATACCAAGAAGAAATTTGCTTGCAAATAACAATCCAAGATCGGCAGCTTAAGCTTGGCTCTTCTATCTAGTATTATAATGTTTTCTTTCATTGCACCTGTTCATTATATCCTTCTAATGCATTTCTACATATTTTTTCATTTTCAAATCTTATATTATACATATATTATACATATTCTTTTATTATGAAATCTTAGTTTTTTTATATTTTATAAGATATAATCTAACTATAAATTTACATGAGAATAATGATATTAATTCATATATATATATATATATATATATATATATGCATATTAGATCAATCAACCCAAAAAAATGTCGCAAATCTTGAAATTATAATTTTCAATATGGACTGTTTTTTATTAAAAATATGATGATAAACAAACTTATAAATAAGGAAAACTAGATTAAATAATGTATATCACAAATATTCTAATAAATCGTAGAATATTAGTTCAGTTTTTACTATTTTAATATTTACAATATTTAATATGTAAACAAGCCTATGAATAATATATTTTTAAAAAAGATTAGTACATAATTAAATATATATTTTAATATCATATGTAATATTTTAATTAACAAATTGAATGAGAAAGCATTAAATTAGTTTTAATTGCTACACCTTATGCTATTATAGACTTTTCTTCACAGCCCTAGAATGTAGTTAGTAAACATCTCAACCATAAATTAAATAATGTTTGCCAATTATAAAATTTTTATATGTTCTATTCTCATCGCTTTCAATTCAGCAGCAGTATAAATAGTAAATATTATATAGTAGTATATATAATAAGAGCAGAATCTTTCGTTTGAAAATAAAATTGTACAGACAGTAACTATTTAGGTTATAATTGAACGTATTTAATTTTCATATAATTTCACAATATAATTATGATGCGTGAACAAATTATTGTCACATTTTATGACCAGCAATGGATGTTGCTCGTCCCAAAATACTCATTCTCTACTACTACGTATATAATAAAATAAAAATGTAGTATATATTACTTATTATTAACCTCATTTTCCTTGGCAAGCATCTCTTCATATAATTACAGCCTAGTTACATGTTTTGTAATTCTTTATATATAGTTAAAGTAACCAGCTTCTGGTAGAGTTTTCTCAATAATGGATACATCATAAAGGAATTTGTTAACATTTAACTTTGAATAAGCCTACTTCGTTAATGTATTAAATATACTATCTTTAGAGTAATTATTTATGTATTACATATAATATATATTAAAATTTACATATTGTATAATATTTAAAATCCTAATCATCAATGCATGATATAATTTTTGTAATTTCATA